CATTAAAGGCACCAGCAGGGGGCAGCAGAGGACAGTTTTCATTAAAGGCACCAGCAGGGGGCAGCAGAGGACAGTTTTCAGTAAAGACACCAGCAGGGGGCAGCAGAGGACAGTTTTCATTAAAGGCAGCAGAGGACAGTTTTCATTAGACACCAGCAGAGGGCAGCAGAGGACAGTTTTCATTAAAGGCACCAGCAGAGGGCAGCAGAGGACAGTTTTCATTAAAGGCACCAGCAGGGGGCAGCAGAGGACAGTTTTCAGTAAAGGCACCAGCAGGGGGCAGCAGAGGACAGTTTTCAGTAAAGGCACCAGCAGGGGGCAGCAGAGGACAGTTTTCGGCCTCTTCAGTGCAGCAGCTCCTGCTGAGGAACATCATGCTCCTCTTCATCCTTTACGACCCTCCATCATCATCATCCTCATAAAGTGAAGCTTTACAGCCGTCAGCAGGTTAATGCTTCACCTGTCAACAGGAAACGGCTCGGAGGTCACGTGATCTGCGTGACGTCATCAGATTAGTTTACACGTTTCTTCTGAAGTTCAGATTGAAAGGTTTAAGATGCTCACAGAACCCGATCTGCAGACCGGATCAGGTCTGGTTCTGCAGGATGAAGCTGGTTCTGGATGTTTGGGTTCGTTCTGCCTCCGTTTAAATCTGATGACTAATTTATTTAACCTGATCTGTTCTAAATGAATTAATTTTACAAACAAACATTTTAAATCTGCAATAAAAACATTGTTCCTGTTTTTATTAGTTCAGCAGTTTCTAAATTAAAGTTCTGGTTATTAGGATAAAGACCTGCTTTTATTTCAGGTGTCAGAGTGTTAGCAGCTGTAAAAATAAGTTTAAATATCAATAAAACAATTCAAACACTTGAAGAATAAAAACAGAAGCTGAGAATTATTGAGGCTTTTATGTGATTTTACTGCAGCGACCAAAATAAATACTCATCAGTGTAAAACAATAAATCTCCCATAAATCCATAAAGATGCAGATAATTCCTCTGCAGGAGATGGCTGGAGGTCGAGGGTTTGAATCCCTGTAGGAGAGAGAGGTGGTCAAACAACAAGGTGTCAGTGTTTCCATCAAAGGATTTAATGAGTGTTGATTGGTTGATTAAATGGATGAAGCATTAAATGATTGGTTGGTTGGTTGAATAGTTGGATGGATGAATGATTGGTTGGATGGATGAATGGATGGTTGGATAGTTGGATGAATGGTTGGATGGATGAATGGATGGTTGGATAGTTGGATAAATGGTTGGATGGATGAATGGTTGGTTGGCTAGTTGGATAAATGGTTGGATGGATGAATGATTGGTTGGATGGATGGTTGGTTGGATAGATAATGGTTGGTTGGTTGAATGGTTGGTTGGATGGATTAATGGATGGTTGGATGAATGGTTGGTTGGTTGGATGGTTGGATGGATAAATGGTTGGCTAGATGAATGGTTGGCTAGATGAATGGTTGAATGGATGGATGAATAGTTGGATGGATGAATGAATGGTTGGTTGTTTGGTTGGTTGGATGGATGAATGGTTGGATGGACGAATGGTTGGTTGGATGGATGAATGGTTGGTTGGATGAATGGTTAGTTGGATGGATGAATGGTTGGTTGGTTGGATGGTTGGATGGATAAATGGTTGGCTAGATGAATGGTTGAATGGATGGATGAATAGTTGGATGGATGAATGAATGGTTGGTTGGTTGGATGGATGAATGGTTGGATGGACGAATGGTTGGTTGGATGGATGAATGGTTGGTTGGATGAATGGTTGGTTGGATGGATGAATGGATGGTTGGATGAATGGTTGGATGGTTGGATGGATAAATGGTTGGCTAGATGAATGGTTGGCTAGATGAATGGTTGGATGGATGAATGGACGGTTGGATGGATAAATGGTTGGCTAGATGAATAGTTGGATGGATGAATGGTTGGCTAGATGAATGGTTGAATGGATGGATGAATAGTTGGCTAGATGAATGGTTGAATGGACGGATGAATAGTTGGATGAATGGTTGGTTGGTTGGAT